AACAGCTGCGAGATGCAAGTGGAGCGGCGTGGGCTCACATTTATTGCCAGGCTGCTCAAGCTTTGCTCGAGAGCGAAGTACCACGTCACCTACCTTGCCTGAGCAGTGGCACCACGTACACCTCCCCCCCCAACTCTCCGCCACCTCCAGGTCGTGAGAAAAGGAGGGAAAGCTGAGGCACCGCCAAGGGGTTACGGCAGGGCCTCGCAGACATGGAAGAGGAACCAGCCTGAGACGCGACAAACTGAGCGACTGACCCAGAAATCGGCACGTCTGTTTCGCGTCCTTCAACTGCGTTTTTAAAGTGGCGGTGGCGATGTTGGCAATTGCATGCTGCTTCGCCCCCAGCTTTTAGCAAATAAATCGGCCCACATGTTGCCCAGATAATCGAACACCGCAGTGTCCACGGTTCGATCCAGGCTCGAAGCGCGCTGGCCAAACAAGAGGGGGTGTCTCCGTGGGCTGGGGTCCAACGGACTCGGGGCCTCTCACTGGGCGGAGCTCCTGCTGGACACAACTGAAACAAACCTCGCTAGATGCACGCATGCTAATTAATGGCAACCTGTAGCCAGCTCGGCATACCAGCTCGATGCCTCTTGCACCGCAGAGAGGTGACCACTGATAATCTCAACTCGTCTCGGGCCAAGGCGGACCGCCTGCAGCAACGCATACCTTTCGGCCCTGGGGACGGTCTGGATGGCCCCTGGAAGGGGCCCAAAACACGCCCGAATGGGCCAGCCCCCAGGACTGAGCTCGACCACGGCCCACCCGCAGCGGCAAGCTTCGGGTAGACCGTTCGAAAGCCCAGAACCGTCGGTAAAAAGTTGAAAGCCCCACGACATGTTCGTGGCACCCCAGAACTTGGGAGAATACTTGGCGGGGTCAGGAGCATGCTGAGGGGGAGGAGAGGAACACCATGCGCCAACTCCAGAGTGTCGAAGTCGGGGGGAATACCTTTCGCTTTCCCGCAGCCAAGTCACATGCGCAATCACGTCGCCTGGAAACAGCGATGCCTCGGCTGGGTCATCACTGGGTTCCCAAACTCGTTTGCACTCATACCACTGATGACCGAAAGTGCCGGGAGCATCGCAACCGAATTTGCATTTGGAGCTGGCTACGTAGCCATGCTGATACTTCTTGGCTGGCGGCCAAAGTTTCCGCTGATCAGGCCTCTCAGGGCCGCTTGCCTAGGAGGGTCCTTAACCGCCAACGTTTCTAATCTGAGCGCGCGCCCACAGACAGGTTTTATCACCGCAAGCCTCGGGAATCGCCTCCACACTCTGCCGCACTTGGGCGCGATTGTCGAGCAGGGGCAAACGGTGAACAGAGAAACAATTTCACCCTGGTCCGTCCTGGGTTGATGATGAGAAATCAAATCCCACCCAACTCGCCGCAACGATAAAATGACCGCCCCTATGGGCCCCTGGACGCGATTCCAGTGAGGGCGATTACGCAAACGAGGTTGAGCCGCCGAGCAGGCAACTCGCAGGTCAGAGCTGGGCGCTTTCCGATCCCACGCCCAGCAGCGATATCTGAACACTAGCGGGATCGTGGCATCGACTACGAGGTCAAAGCTGGGATCCTTGTGGGTATACAAGAAACCAGTGACGTGAGAAGCTCCACCCGCCCCCATAAGGCCCCCAGCTAAGTCCCTGAGAGTTCTGAGCGTGTCATTGGTCACTCCTGATACCGAGGCCCCGTGGCCTCCGCTGGGCATGGGGCCTGTGCGCCACATGCCAGCAACCTTGGTGCCCGCAGACTTCTTAAGCACCTGGATACGGTGCTTCCTCCTAGCCAGCGCAACTCGCCTCTTGGCTTCCCGCCTTTCGGAAAGCACGCCTGCCAAACAAATCATGACCAATGTTTCGCATGTGATCATATCCTCGCACTCCCACCAACTTGGCCGACATTGCCACGTGCTTGGAAGCGGCCAAGCTGGTGGCCACAAACCCCGACGTATTGGGCTGCAGCAGAAGGCCAATCGGGCGCACAAAATGACATAACTCCCTAGCCGCAGCAAGGACCACAGTACCTCGCTCAGGGTCGGGATCTGGCCAGTGCAGAGAGACGTCGTCCATTGAAGTTCTCGCCTGGGCTGGAATTCTTTCAATCGCAAACTCAACTGGTTGCAGCAGCATTGTCATCGTAATGGAGGTAGCCCCCGAGCTTTCAGCTAGAACCCCTAGGAAAGAAACTAATGGCTCCGACCATGAGCCGAAAGCATCAATCCTCCGAGGGGCAATACAGGTCTGGATGAGCGTTTTTTTCTTAGGAGGCTGTGCATTCGGGAAGTGTGGTTTTCGCGGCCACCCCATCTCATTCGTTCCTTTCTACGCGCGCAGGCCTGGGAGGCGGCGCCGCAAGCTATGTTGAACAGTCGGCACGGTTGCATCCCACGACGCCAGGTCAGAAACTGCCAAATCACTCAAGTATGGACCTGGAAGCGCGAGTGCAACAAAACGGCGCCCTGAACGAAATCTGGAGCGTCGGCAACACTGGAATTGCAAGTCGCGAATTTGCGTTCGCAGGTGCCTGAAGCCTTCGTGCCAGACCCAGAACCGCAGAGGCGTACCCAGGCCAGAAACTGGCGGAAACGCTGTGAATGCTACCCTGGGGCACCTTGCAACGTGGGGCAGAAAGCGCAGGCTGCGACAACAACGCGCCTCTGGGGCGCACCACGGGGCGCCACCTGGCCAGCAACGACCCGCTAGCAGGGGCCGTCGCACACCCAGCTGCCCATGCACGTCCTGTGCCGGACAGCAACGGACCCGACCAGGAAGCCCCGCTGGGAGACGCAGCGGAGTAAGCCTGCAATGTGAAAGCCTTTCCCTGCCTGCCCGTCCGTATGGGGATCCAAAGCGGACACAGCTGGGTACTGCCATGCCGCTGGCTGGACCCTGGCGGACCCGACGGGGAAGCCCAGCTGGCCGCGCCGAAAGAAACCCAGCTGCGCATGCAATGTGGGAGCCCCCCCCCGCCGGCCGGACCGAAACGGACGCGACGGGGAAGCCCAGCTGGCCAGACCGTGGCGGACCCAGCTGGGCATGCAATTCGGGAGCCCCTCCCGCAAGCCGGACTGTAGCAGACCCGACGGGACGCCCAGCTGGCCGGACCGTAGCGGACCCAGCTGGGCATGCAATACAAGAACCCCTCCCCGCCGGCCGGACCGTAGCGGACCCGACGGGGAGGCCCAGCTGGCCGGATCGTAGCGGACCCAGCTGGGCATTGCAATGCAACGTGGGACCCTCCCCGCCGGCCGGACCGTAGCGGACCCGACGGGGAGGCCCAGCTGGCCGGACCGTAGCGGACCCAGCTGGGCATTGCAATGCAACGTGGGACCCCTCCCCGCCGGCCGGACCGTAGTGGACCCGACGGGGAGGCTCAGCTGGCCGGACCGTGGCGGACCCAGCTGGGCATGCAATGCCAGCCGCGCCGTCCGTAGCCGCCGGGCATGGGATGCATCGCGCGCAAGACCGCGACAGAGAGCGCAGAAGTGAGCTGGAGCGAGCACACAGAGCAACCACGGCGGGCTAGGGGTGAACGACTGGGTTACCCTGGCCATTGTTGCACTAGACCCGGCGGGAAGCACCGCACAGAGCGAACGGCATGACGAGAACCGCAGACGTGGAGAACGAGAGACCCTGCAGGAAGCCGCCGGGGCCCAGAGCCCCAGCCCGGCCGAGCCGCGGCACACCCCGCAGGGACAGACGAGGCACGCGCACTGGACAGACCAAGTCAGCCAGGAGCGCGCCTGCGTAGCCACGGCGAACGTGGCGACGAGGACGCCGGGAACTTGCTACCCCGCCCCCGCGCCGGGCGGCAAACCACAGAGCCCCGACGACACGCGCCAACGCCGCCGCTCCTACTGGAGCCAACCAGGCCATGAGGAAACCATGAAACTCCCCAAACGGACCAAACGACCAACCGTGGGAAACTACGGCCGAAACGCCGATTTTCCTCCCCACGAAAGAACCTTTAGGGGGTAAGAAAAGCAGCCCAAACCAACCCAAGCCCGCCCGCGAGAACAATAAGGAGCAAGGAAAAGCGAGAATGAAATAGCAAGACACGAGAAACACAGAAAGCACATCAGAATATCAGCTCCGAGCCGCTCTGCGCGAGCGGACGGCACCTGAGCGTCACAGGGCTGCTTGGTCGCGCAACTGAGGGCACGGTGCGACGGCGCGACGGCCGACCGCACACCGCGACCCAAGATGCACAGCTCCGTGCCGCTCTGTGCGAGCGGACGGCGCCTGAGCGCAGGGTTGCTTGGTCCCGCAACTGAGCGCACGGTGCGCCGGCGCAGCGGCCGACCGCACACCGCGACCCAAGATGCACAGCTCCGTGCCGCTCTGCGCGAGCGGACGGCGCCTGAGCGTCACAGGGTTGCTTGGTCCCGCAACTGAGCGCACGGTGCGGTGCGCGGGCGCAGCGGCCGACCGCACACCGCGACCCAAGATGCATAGCTCCATGCCGCTCTGCGCGAGCGGACGGCACCTGAGCGTCACGGGGTTGCTTGGTCCCGCGACTGAGCGCACGGTGCGACGGCAGCGGCCGCGCACCGCGACGGACGGCGCCTGAGCGTCCCAGGATTGCTGAGTAATGAGCGACGAGGTGTGGCCCGAGCGCCCCAAGACAGAGAACGCGGGGACTGCGTCGACAGAGGACATGGATCTCGGCTGCGTGGGGACGATCCGAACCCCAACCAGAGGGACCGCGAGACGCGCGGCAGCATCCCCTGGGCCTGCGCGCAAGGAATCCATCGATTCAAAAGCAATGGAAAAGTAACAAGAGGTAACTCTTGGACACGCAATGATCACCCTGGAAAGAATCGATGCAAAGACACAACTGATCAGCCAATGCCAACCAACCAACCAGCCTGGAGCGAAGCAAATGGAGAACGAAGGGTGCCCGCGAAAACCTTGCTTCCCGAACGCACAGCCTCCTCAGAATCTCCGCTTTCCGCTTCGCACCTTCTCTCTCCAGACCTGGCAGACGCGAAGCGTGCAGCCCTACACCGGGGAGTCCGAGCCAGCCGTCTTCAAGGCGTGGGCCGTGGAGCCCTCGCAGCTTGCCTTCGCCTACCGGCTCCAGCGCAAGTGCGCAGCCACAGTGCCTCAGGAGGCGACGCCGGAGAGCAAGCTGGCGACTGCGATGACCGCGTATCTCGGGGCGCAGGCCGCCAGCGAGAAGGTGAAGCTCTCGGCGAAGGCGCTCTCCTTCAAGCTCTCAGACAGGGTCAAGGAGCTGGGAATGGACCAATTCCCCCAGGACGTCCTCCCGTCCGAGGAGAGCCTCGCGGTCTTCGAGGCAGCCGGCCGCGTGGCCAGAGAGAAGGGGCGGCTGTACGTCGGCAGTGCCGAGGGCGAGGATCTCCAGAGGAATTTTCGGCCGGCCTGGTCGAGGATTCCGCGTATCGACGTGCCTGTCGGTGACGGGTCTGTGGCTGAGCGTCAGCGCCAGATGGCCGAATTGAGGCGTGTCCGGGCTGCGTCGGAGCTCGACTACCCCGGGTACGCCACCTTCCACGCTCACATCATGGATTGGGGCGTCAAGCTCATTCTGATGAAGGCTGCCACGCCGCTTGAGGTGCTCACCTACTCGATCTTGCTGACTAAGGTCGCCGAAGAGGAAGGGGGGCGTGCGCACGGCGTACCAGTACGACATCCTGGTGCGCACGGCCATGGCCAAGGCTTTGGAGCGCGGTGACCCAGACTGGAGGCTCTACTTCACGAAGGTCGACGCAGACCTCGCGAAGCAGGCGAAGCGGAAGGTCGAGGACAGAGCGGCTGAGGCTGCGCGGACGCTCGCTGGCAAGAGCGCTGGCAAGGGCGGCAAGTACGGCAAGAGCGATGGCGCGAGCAGCGCTGCTGCGGCGTCGGCGCCGCGGTCTCTCTCGCCTCTCGCGCCGCCGCGCTCCCGCAGCCCCTGGCGCAACCAGGGCGGCCGGCAGCAGAGCGGCAGCGGCTGGGCCCAGGGCGGCTGGCACCAGGGCAACAACCAGGGCAACTGGAAGCAGGGTGGCTGGCAGCAGGGGCAGCGCAAGAAGTGATCGGCATCCGATCGCAGTGAGAGCCCAGGAGGCTCCAGTGTGGATTCTGCCCGCTTTGATGGCGGATCCACAGCTTTTGAAGAGCACTTCTGCGCCGATCGCGATTTCGGCGGTCCAGCGGAGTGCGAGTTTCACCCTGAATATCCCGCGGCTCCTGGCATGGCCAGAGTCAGGGATTGTGTAAATACGTTCCTGCAGGATCCTGCGGTCTCCGGTCTTGGTCCGCTCGATCATTTAGAGTGGGCTCTTGGTTTGCCCTCGTGTTGCGATCGTCCCTCGGTGCCAGAGGCGGTCGCTGCTCCTCTCGCTCGTGTGCTCTCTCTTGGTGGCCAGGCTTTGGCTTCTGCTAGGGCAGCTAGTCTCGCGCATTGGCGTGAGCGCAAGCGCGTGCTGGACCCGCTCTGGGCGCGCAGGTTCGGCTCTCTGCCGACGCACGTTCAGAGCGTTCTTGGTCCGAAGAAGAATCTGCTTGTGCTCAGCGAGATGCTCGAGGCCATCGCGTGGCCCGATACTCGGTTGGTAGCTGATTTGCGCAATGGGTTTCCCCTTCTGGGTGAGATTCCGCGCAGTGGCGTGCTGCCGCAGATTCCGTACGCAAAGTGCTCGGAATCTGCATCGGGCTTGCGGGCGCAAGCCAGCGCTCTGAATGAGGACACGCTCCGCCGCGTGCGGCGACCGGCTGGTCTGGAGGATGCGGTCCGAGCGGTCTTCGAAGCTAAGTGTAAAAAGGAGGTCAGCGATGGCCATGCGAGGTGGCGCTCCTTGCCTGGCAATTGCGTTCTCACTGCGCGCTTTCCGGCCGACGAGGGTTGGAAGGATAATTCGCGCCGGGTGCGCTGTATAGACGACTTTTCGGCATCGCGTATAAATGCCGCAGTATCTGTTGGGGAAACAATCCAACAGGATACGCTCGACTGTTTCGTAGCCGTGCTCTGTGAAGTCATCCAGCGAGGTGCCGGCGGAGCCGCGCTGCGGAAAGAAGATTTCGTGGCAGCTTTTAAAACTCTGCCCCTGGCTAGCTCCCACCTCCACTTCGCTGTGGTAACGTGGGCGTCGGCCGACGCCCAGGGGCAGGGTCTGCAGCTTCTTGCCTGCCCTTTCGGAGCAATAGCTTCGGTCTACAATTGGGAACGCTTCGGCTCAGCAATCAGATCAGTTCTGGCGCAGCTGTTTTTCGTAGTGTTTCTGAGATTCGTAGACGACCTCTTTGGCGCCGACGCAGTCTGTTCGGACGCGCCAGCTCTCGCCACACCAGCTGGCGCCAGCGAGGTTGCGCGCGAGGTGGTCGAGGACCTACTCGGCTGGGAACTCGATGCCACGAAGCGGGTATCGGATTCCAAGAGTGCCCCAGTTTTGGGCGTAGAGGTGGAAATCGATTCCCCCGGCCAGGCGCTGCATTTGGAGATTGGCGCCGCCAAGCTGGCGAAGTGGGATTCGCAGATCCGCGCCATCTTGAGGCGCAATGCCTTGCACCCTGCCGAGGCGAAGAAGCTCGCCGGGAGATTGAATTGGGGTGCTTCTTCTGTCTTTGGCCGCGCGGCCCGGGTGCATTTGGCACCACTTTTCGCACAAGCATCGGGGGGTTCCTCGAAGCTGTCAGGGCGCGTGAAGCGTTCGCTCCTTTGGTGGCTGCGCTTTCTCAGTTGTGTGCCGCGCCGCACGGTTCTGTGCACGCAGCCATCACGCCTCAGGTGCATTGTTTACTCAGATGCCACAGGGAGCGGCAGTCTGGCATGGGTCGTCTGCCTACCCAGTCGGCGTCTGTGGTCTGCTTCTGTGGTGCCCGCGGCCGTTTGGCGTTGGGCACGCTATCGGAAGAATCAAGTGGCGACCTGGGAATTAATGGCTGCGATCTGTGCTCTCCACTGGCTGCTCAGCCAAAGGCTGGGCGATCTGGAAGTTTTATTGTTCGTTGACAACACGACTGCGCTCGGCACTCTCGTGCGCGGCTCTTCCAGACAAGTCGATTGGAACGATCTCATTGGAGATCTTTGGCTGCGCGTTGCCCAGGCCGGAGTGCTCCTGTGCAGCTTTTACGTTCCGAGCCATCTTAATTTGGCTGATGCGCCTACGAGGCCACAGCAAAAATATGCAGCGCTGGAGGCGATGCAAACAGCAGGTTTCGCAGAAGTGCCATGGAGTGTCCCGCCGGATGCCCCCTGGCAGTCTTAATTTTTCGGCCCGGCGGTTGCGTGGTGGAAAAAATGCGTCCACGTCACCGTCCTCTGGTGTCGCCTTAGTCTGGTCTGCTGCGCCAGGAGAAGCCCCAAGAGGCCGGGGCTGGAGTCTACGCGGTATTTTTGGCTTTCGGATCGAAGCTGTGGAAACCATGCTGCCTCCCAGTCTGCAGCGCTGGCAAGGAACAGCAGAGCGTGATCTTCAGGCGTTTCCTTTCTAGGAAGGCGGCATATCGATCGATGGGTTTACGTACGTACATCGTGCACATTCAGCAGCACTGCGGCGCAAGATCGCGGCTCTGTCTCCGTAGCCTGTTTGGCGCAAGCTTGAAAGTTCCGCTCAATGCTTAATTTCGTTGATGAGAGCCGGGCCAGGGCCGCTGCTGCTGCTGCTGCTGCATCAGGCTCGTCGCAAGCCGCCCATCCTGCAGTGGCCGAGGTGCCAGCTGCGTTTTCAGGTAATTTGGTTCGTATTCTCAGGCAAGTGTCCGCAGTCGTTCCGCCCGGTGCGCCCATTGATACATTGTGTTCTGGTTTGGCGGCTGCCGGAGCGTCGCGGGCAGAGGATTTTTGCGATATTGGTCCTGAGGAGGCGCAACTCGTTTGGCGGCCTCTGTCTGGGTGTTCGCGCGACTTCCTCAGTAGATTTCTGCAGTTATGCGAGGTGGAGCGGCGGCAAAATCAGCTCCGGGCGGCCTCTGTAGCGCTGCCTGCTGCGCGTCCTGCAGAGCAGACTGAAAGCGGCAGCACCCCAGCACATGGCCTTGTCCGCGGGCGTGGTGCTCAGGACGGTGCTGCCGAGAGAGGTATGGCAGCTCTGGCGCTGTTGGCGCACGCGCGGCGCAGTGGGCAGGTGCTTGGGCCTACGGTGCTCGCAGGCGCTGTCAGAGACATGGCGAAGTTGCCGGATTCCCCATTCGAGGAAGACAGAGTGTTGCCCCGGGCTGCTGCAAAGCGAGCGCGGTATTCGGGAGCAGACTCCATGGAGTTCGAGATCCGCGCCGTCTGGCTCGAATTCTGTGGGTGGCGCCGCAGTGCCGCGCAGTATGCCAGCGCAGTAGAGCTCTGGGGTGAGGCGGCCGCCATCAGTACAGAGGCGCCGTGGCCACCTGGGCATTCCACGGTCTGCGTCTTCTCAGGTCTCTTCCGCAGCAGTGCCTCTCTGGGCCAATATGTGTCGCACATTCGTTCGGTGCTCCACCTGCTGCGGGTATCAACCGGCGAGCTCTCGGACACGGCGAGGCTCGTGAGGGGAGCAGAAAAAACTGGTGCAGCTTTTCAACGGCCGAAGATTTGGGCATCGGGGTCGCAGACACGCGCGCTCATGCAGTGGGCGTCGCGCTCAGGGCGTCGTGATCTGGCCCTGTCTTGGGCAGTGTCGCGCCACTTTTGCTTGAGGTATTCTTCCGAAACTTTGGCTCTGGGTTCAGGCAAGGCGTCCTTTCAATTCAGCAGCCGCGATGGTCATTCTCAGTGCACGGTGACGTTCACTCGGAGGAAGAGCTACCGCGTTCCCGTTGAAGTCGCGAGAAAGTGCGTCTGCTCTGGAGATGCAGAAATCTTATGCGGAGTATGTGCCTTGAAGGAGGCGTGCGCGGAGCACGCGGTCCCATTTGGGCATATTTCGTATTCTGAAGCGCTGGCCTTCTTAAAAGCTGGTGCAGTGGCGCTAGCTTTGCCGCAGGCTCTCCACTGGGGCACTCACGCGTTTCGCAGAGGATTCGCAAACGATGCCCTCCGGGCCGGCGGCGTGTCTGCGCTGTTCTGGTCGGGCGGCTGGAAGGGGCTCGCTGCGTTTGGGTATGCTACGGCGCAGGCCCGAGGCGAAGTGGCCGCCGCGGAGTGGCTGGTGGAGCACTCGGACTCGAGTGGCGGCGAGAGCGGCTAGGCACGCTCGCATGCAGTGGGTGCTGTCTGGAAAAAGAGCGTGCGAGACGCTCCTGTGCTCTCACGGTGCCTTTCGGCTCCTTGCCGCCAGCCTCGGCCCTCCTGGATGCAGTGGGCCCTTGGGGTATTCCAGTCGGGACCAGCCTGGCGGCGCCGTGTGTCTCCTCAGCCCAACGCAGGTGCGGGGGGCGCCGGCCTGCTTCTTCTGTGCTGACCGCACGCAGAGATTTTCATCGCCCCCAAATCGCGAGGCGATTTGGGGGGCAGGAAAATCTCCAGGGAGGTTGCTCGTGGCCTCTCCGCCTCTTGGCCTCTCGGCCTCACTGCCTGGCAGTGCCCTTGTGGCACGGCGGATTGGGGGGGTCCCCTCTGTGCTAATAAGCTGGGGCCGCGCGCGGCTGGCGGACCGCGGCGTGGGGATGCCATGTCGTCTCCTCTCCTCGCTTCTCCGGCTGGCGGTTGGCGGTTGTGCGCGCGCGGGGGCGAAGGTTGTCGCGCTTCGCGGCGCGGCCTCGGGGGGCCGTGCCTTGGTGGTGCGTGGTTGCGCGACGATAAATGCGCTTCGCTGCTCGTCGTTGGCGGGCTTCCGTGGTGTCTGGCCCGCAGGACGGGCGTGGTCGAGAAATGCTTTCTCTGGCCCGCAGGACGGGCGTGTCTCTGGCCCGCAGGACGGGCGTGCTCATTTTCGAAAGCCCACCCTCGTGCCACCCTGGGTTTGTTGTGCGGTTAGCGGGCGCGGTGCCCCCTGCCAGGCTGGGCCCTTGGGGTATTCCAGTCGGGACCAGCCTGGCGGCGCCGTGTGTCTCCTCAGCCCAACGCAGGTGCGGGGGGCGCCGGCCTGCTTCTTCTGTGCTGACCGCACGCAGAGATTTTCCTGCCCCCCAAATCGCGAGGCGATTTGGGGGCGATGAAAAACTTCAATGCCACGAAGTGT